CCTCTCAATTGTTATCAAGTCCTATCACCTATCATCAGTGTTCCCCCACTGTCGCCTTTATCCTTTCCTAATTTGAAGGCCCTATCCATGGGACAGGAGTTATAAATTATAGGTCGAAAAAACAACCCACATAAAAACACCCAAATAAATACGCCTAGCAAATTGTTATAGTAGGCAGCAGTTCTCATTCTGCTCATACATGTTCTACTCTTGGTACAATACTCATCTGACTATACTTCTCTTGTCGCTTTTTGAAAAAGGTTCAAGTGTATGCTTATGTGTGCACAATCGCGGAGCGCCATAGCTAATTATTAGCGGTAGATGCCCAGAGAAGTTGTTGTTCAACGAATTTTGTTCTGCACAGCGGTGGTGAGCATCATAGAGCCAAACTTCTTGAACCCTCTTCATCAAGCTACAAATTATCTATGAGTGAATGATCGAATGTGAGGGAACTTGTGGATTTGAACCGATTTTGGATCTAGCGACTGTTCAAAATTTTGGTATTATTCCTACTTGCTGACACTCAATAATATCGTACGTTTGACGGGATCCACTGGCTCACCTGCATGTCCTGCGCTGGTCAGCTTTCTTCAATGAAAACGTCTATCAGTGTTTATCTGATAACTGCTTATTGCCCAGCGAAGCGGTCAACACCTCAATACAATAATAGAAACATATGTTTTCAAACCGCTAAGCTAGAGGATAGTGTGTCACAAAGTAAGCGCCTCGGACAAGCCAATCACAGAAACACCAGGAGATGTAAGGGTCTTCCACTCTTGAATAGTTGGAGAAATTCTTGTTCAGTTGCTTGTCGATCAAATTGGCGACTCAAGTCAACTTGGCGGTTTCTATGGCAGTGTGGAATTTCGAGTCGCTCCCAAAGAGGTGCATCTAAGAGTTACAGGAAGAGCTGATTAGCATTTGAAGCGTTCGAGCAATGACGAATACTGCGTCGATTGCTTGGCTTCTTCGTTTTCTGCACTTCTCAGTGTGACCCAAATAGTTTTCATTTGGGCTCAAGCGCGAATGCAAGCAGTATTGTCCGCACTACATCGTGTGAGAGAATTCGTACGTTTTCCGTTCGTTCGACCCGAAATTGAACATCTCCAACACAATATAAGTAAATACAACTTACATCCAATAATATTAAGACAAAGTATCAAGATTATAAGGGGGGGGGACAAGTCAAAGAAGTAGTTCAACTTCCGTATCGCACGTGCCCTAGACAGAAGTCGAGTTTGAAAAATGTTCTCCCTCCGTGCTCTTCAGTAGGGTAGGGGAGGACAAGAACTTATGAAAATTATATATAATAAACAAATAAATAATCAAACAAATAAGTCAAGAGGTATAAAATGCAAAGGAATGACCGAATTATAAGCAGCGAACTAAGAAACCCTAAACAGAGGAAACCAAGTGAAAAACTAAAAAATGAGCAATACAAACAAAACCAAATGTACAACAGAAAATATAAGTTAGTGAAAACACACATAAAGTTATCGATTTAGTAATAAAGATCACTAAACAAGAAGGATGATAAATACTTGAAAAAATCGTGCTCCTATACCACATGTACGCGGCTTTGTGCGCTATAATTAACACCGGCTTCGCATACCGCTCCTACCGCGACCTTCACTCTTCAGAAGGACTCTATGCGCACGGTAGGCACGAAACATCATTCTATTACTTGACCAAAAAATGCAGCTGACTTCGTTGGTTTCGCCTCTCGCCTATTACGTAGGAATGATTAGGGAGGGTGAGCAAGGCAAGCAGGAATGACTAATGGGGCGAACAACGACGTCGAAATAATCAAATATTACTCGTCAGACTGAAGGCAAAAGTGAAGATGCTATATAGAGCCGTCATCCCTCTTTTCAGAACGATACAGAATGTTGCAAATGTGGTCACAGAAGTTCTGAGAAACAGGAACTAGAACTATTCGGGAACTACGAATATGACAAAAAGCCTTGGTCCTAGCAATAATAATCCATCGAGAATTGGATTCTTTCTTGTATTGATCTACTGGCGCAGCGACTTTACTCTGACTGAGGAATCTGTCCAATGTTGGTACCGTCTATTCGTATCAAAGATACAGAGATGTTAAGACCGCATCGCATAGATTAAGTGTTGCGGACCAGTGATTCATTCCTTCCGCGGCTTCTTATCGGCCAATATCACACGTTATCAATTTTTGTCATCAAAGTACTGCGATCCTACTAAAGCCCGCGTCTACCACCAAAAAGTCGAGGTTTTTTACATACCCACCGAACTACAGGCCAAACTCAATGGCTCTTGCATTTTGTGAAGCCTCATCAGCACGCACATCACCCATCGAAGAAACAAAATTTTTCTTCAGTTATAGATAGCGAGAGGAGGAGGTTTGAAAGTTTTGTTTATGTGATTCGCTATCAGCCACTGCTATAGCTGTCGCCAGCGCTCGTGCAATGCACTCTGCGCCGACTTTGTCTGATATGAAGGGCAGTCGGAGATGCACCATATTCTCGTGATTTCTAAGCTGGTACCCTTTTGAGCGTGACCTTCTCTGCTTTGTCCCGTAGCCAGTCAGGTTTGCAATCCCGGATGCTAGCTTAAGTGACTCTCCCCGTTCCACCTCGCCTATAGCTGTTCTGTACATGTTTCGAACTACTGCACGTATCACAGTCTCGGGTTGAGCAGACCTTGAGTGGAGTAAGATGTTCTTCGAGCTGCGTTGTACCTTCCACTTAAGATGTTTATCTGCGTGTTAAGATGAGGAAGCCAGCTCTCGTGCGGAACCTCTCTAGTGAACTTGATATACTGCGACTGTCGGTAGAGGATGTTAAACAGCTCATCCATCTTTTGCTGTGTTGATGTAATTACGCAGCCGTCATCAATGTACATAATGGGCATGCGAGCCATAAGTGGCCTTTCTACTCTGCTCATAAAACAGCTAAGACCGGTGCTAGCCGTTGGCCCATAGCAAGTCCTCGGTTTTGAGAGAAGTACTGCACGCTCCACTTAAAAATATTACAGCTAAGGCACTCCTTGATCAGAGTCATAATGTGAACCTTACTCAATCCAAACGCAACAATTTCCGTCTCATGCTCGTCCAGCATTTCAGGAACTGCTTGGAGAACTTCATCGTTGTTTACGTTCGTATAAAGCGCGGTTACACCAAACGACTACATGAACACAAGCGATCAAAAAATTCGTTAATGTTCGGCAGATGTGACGATACGTAACGTAGTAGTTGGCCAACAATTCTGTTAAGGAACCACGAAACACGGTCCGTCGGCCTACCCACACAGCTAATGATGGGTCTTATTTTGTAATCGCTAGCATTGACTGAGTTTTCACCTCCGTTGGACAAATTATGAGTCTTGATCAAGCAATAGAAAACTGGACACAAGGGTGTATCCAACTACAAACTTTCATCCTATTTTGCCATCTTTCCGATTGATACCCCTAACGCATTCAACCTGTGACACTGTGTTAGGAGCGCCTTTTCTGTGGAGTCACTGTACACAGAAGTATCACTAGGGTGGAGTTCGGTGATTTCCCGATCCAACGAACGAGGTAAAACCACAAACTCTCGTCCTTTGTCACTTAAACGTCTTCTACGAGGGAAGGTTCTGGTTCTTTATAGAACGAACATGGGAATGGAATAGGCGACAGCATAGATTCTGTGCTAGCTCACTGAGGCTCTCTGCGCATTGCACTCCTTCTAAGCTGATCTCTCAGTCGATGAAGCCCTGTTACCACCTGACGGTACGTGGAAGGTCCAAGCTTTTGAGCAATTGAAAATGATGGCCCAAGGTTGAGGAAATCCGCAGCTTTCTCCGATATATTTGTGCTGCCAATAACAGTGACTCTTACCTGATTCAGCGCATTGCTCATTCCTTGAGTGGTCAGTGCTTGGTGCTGGTGGTTCGTANCCAAGCTTTTGAGCAATTGAAAATGATGGCCCAAGGTTGAGGAAATCCGCAGCTTTCTCCGATATATTTGTGCTGCCAATAACAGTGACTCTTACCTGATTCAGCGCATTGCTCATTCCTTGAGTGGTCAGTGCTTGGTGCTGGTGGTTCGTAGAAGAAGCTGAACAACCGAAATGAGTGCATTGCCATAACGAGTGAACTTCTGCCATTCATTCCCCTTCGTGTGCTTTGAGATCACCGCGCAATTCTTATCTCACGACCGTCAATGGTGTCTCATTGTTCCCTTGTTGTTCACGGAATAGAGTAGGACGACAACTCTGGTGGAACCGCATAAAGTTGGTCTCTTGGCAGGGATGCTCCGGTGTTTGAGTTTCTGGGAGTAGTTGCAACTGGCCTAGTGCGTTTGGGCGCTTAGTCAGGTAAGCCACAGACCAATAGCTACGAACTACTTCCAGGTCCTTGAAGACGACGAGTTAGTCGAAACGTCGGCTAATAAAAATGCTCCATCACAACAACCTGTACGGCAAAGCATCCTGAAATATTACAGCTGTTATCATTGTGGGAAGATCGGTTCAGGGCTGGATCTAATGAACACGATGTTCATGACCCGAAATTTCATACCGAATGCGATTTTTTAAGATAATGCGTGTGCATTTTTCCTCACCTCACGTTTTCCACTCTTTCTTTGCTTTTTTCTCTTCCTTTAAAGCTTGAAGTGGCTTTCAAAACGGATGTGAACGGGTGCTTCAGTTGATACTGTTATTAGGAGCATGACCAGAATGACCAAATCTTGAAAAACGTCCACGTACGCCGAATCTTCTATCCGTCTTAAGTTGCTCGGTTAACACTAAAATTGTAGATGAAAAGAGCCTACGGCAACTATTTGACTCTGCCACAAATAATCAACAATTTGAGTTACGAAAAGTAAAAGCATATTCGTGGCTTTTAGTCTAGCGATGTGTTCTAGAAGGCAAGTTCAGCTTAGTTGAAAGTCTGTTGCACGTTGACTGGTTAACTCATTCCAACTGATGCCTTAACGTGGGCAGGACATACTTCACAATTCATTGATGACATGATAAACTTGCGATTAGTTCATCTTCTTCTGTAGAACACGCGGCGTTGGAATGTCTGTCCAGGCAACAACCAAGCGTATAATTAAGTCTTGAATTGCTGTCGGTAGCATCGCCAGTGAAATGAACAAAAATAAACTTTGGAAACCTATGTGAAACAGAAAATGCTTCCTGCGATGAAATGGGGTAATGGAAAATTGAGCCACGATTAATTCAGTTCTGAATAGTATTCCGAAAATAAAAAATGAGAATGGTATGGCGTAAAATATGTAATGAGAATCCAAAATGACCGAGACATTCCAGCGCCTTTCCATTTCTGCATACTGATAAGGAAAAGAATGGAAAAAAGCGTTCGAATGAACAGTATGTGCAACAGCAAAGTTGGCCCACTACGAAGCCTTTCGTGGGGTGTTTGCTACCCTATAAATGGCTTCTTTCGAAGGTAGTGCGAGTCGAAGACAATCAGAGTGCCTAACACTTAATGGGCAATTACTCGACATGACAACGCCTGATATTGCCTCTTTTGAAGCCGAAGCTCACAAAATTCACAAGACATTGGTCAGCACTGGGTAAGGATTCGAATTCTAGGTCGATCTCCGCCTGGGCCGATCAAGCATTCCATCGCTCTGGGGCCGATCAATTGGTAGACTCGTCTGGGAGGACGAAGCACTGACTTATACATCGTCAGGTCGCCCCAAATCATTGTGTAAGTCACCAAAGTCATTAACGCCCAAAGACTTTTCCTTTTTAGGTGGTCGGTACGTAAAACCAGTCTCACCCATGATCGTACGTGTCTTTAAGTATGGGTATTTCAGAATTTTGCAGTTTGAAAGCCATGAACTCACATCAATTTTGAGTTCCATCCAACCTGATATCTGGACCCAGGATAAACAGCTGTCAAAGCGTGAAGATATCTATCAGTCATGTAGTCAATGCGGTCGGAGGTTATGCGAGTCAGCATCCATGACGTCTTTTCACGCTTTTAACAGATAGATGAACAGTTATTTAGAAAATTAAGTTTTTAGTGACAAAGTAGGATGGAACGACGGATTGTTCAGTGCATGGCACCGCACTGATTCGGTTCAGATCGATTGTTTCAGCTAGATTTCTCACTTGCCTGGCTCTGCGATGATCTACGACGGAGCTAGACCCGTATGTGAAAGCTAAGAAAACTCGCGTTAGTCAAGCAGGCGAGTAAGGGAAGTCTTCACAATGGGATACTAACAATATAGATCCATCCCAAAATCTGATTATCTCTGGGCTGTGTCCATGTGCATCTATCTGTGAAGGAACTACCAATTGCAGGTATATCCAATCAGAAACGTATTAGACTGTCCAGTGGAACTCGAAGTGACACTGATCAAGGGTAATTCGAACAACATTCGGATCCATAGAAGTGTTGGATGTGAGTGAGGAGTGAGGGATGTTAAGTACAGTACTCGCCGTAAGAGCTCGAAAATTCACGCGGATACCGCGAATTCGCGTCCTTTTGTTCTTTTTTCTAGAAATCGCTTCAAAATGGAGTAATCGAGGAGTTAAAAGCACACTTGCACTCAACTCGTCGAGCTCTACGAGGTGATATTCTAAAGTGCTAAAATGCTTCATTTTGGATTGCCCCATACACTTGAGCTCCATCCGAAAAGTGATTGCATGTACATGGGGTGCACGCTTCAGTGCTTGTAGGGGCTGATTGGTCCCTGAAGATGATGTGTTCAGAAATCGCTTTGGATAGCATCACGCACTCGACTTTGCTCAGTACAATGTGAAAATGACTGATTGGTTCTGTTCAGCCTCCATCGTTCCTTTTTGAGTTGGAGGCTGTAGATAACTGCATCTACGGCCTCTGCACTAAACACTCCTCTTTACAGGTCCCATTGAGTATATGACACCAACTAACTGCAAAATAACGGAGTCGATCTTTTTGGCATTTCCCACTTTGGGAGAAATTTTTCTACGGAATCTGAGGAGATGGCGTTGAGGCACTTCACTGCCGTAGACATCTCTTTGTTGCCTGCAAGACTGTTATGGTACATTCCATCATAGATCAAAATTCCTCCCTTGGTATAGTCTCAAACTTCGAAATTCGTCAAGCCCTAATCATAAAACAATGTTTTTTCGTTTCCGTTGGCGTTTTTGTAGCTAAGTTATACACTGTTAGATTTCCCGCGAAAAATGCTATCGAATGATATATGGATCAACCCGTAATAATATCCTCCCTTTATAACCATCTTCTGCCATGTACCTGGCGCGAAGCAGTTTCCTGCTGGGAGTGTTTGGATGCGCATGTGGCCGGGTACTGTAGTGGCGCGGGGTTTGAATGGTGGTGATTCACAGGCGACGGGTTCCGTAGTGGCGGGAGCTCAGCGCGGTTCTGAGTAATGACTACTTGAATGGGGACCTGGATACGCAGGCGGGTGGGTACTGTAATGGCGGGAGGTTGGGGCATTTTGAACAATGATAATTCTAATGGGGGTTAGGTCCACAGTGGGCGGTGTTCTGAAATTGCGAGAGGGGGAGGGTTGATCGATTAATGATTACTTCAGTGGGGGGGGGG